AATAAGTCCTCAATTGGGAGCCTAAAATGTCGTGATTTTGTAGGCGTCATGGGTACAATACGTTACTTGCCACAATTTGAGTTAATTCTTCTATGAGTCATATCATGTTTTATTGTCGATTCTCTGCAAAGTTCTTATTTCGAGATTGTTCGACAAACATGATGTTGGGGGACATGAGTCAGCTAAGCCAGGAGACAAGATGGCGCTTAAACAATCAAGCGTTCAACTCTAAGTTCGTAGTAAAGCTTGCAAGGCAAAGACTTCTAATTAGGCATCCAGTACGCTACTGGATACCTAACTGGGGGACAATTGTTGGGCCATCAAACATGGCTTAGCCCAGCCCAAACCGCAACTACAACCCATCAAGTATGTATGGGCCCAAACCCACAAAGTATCTTCATGATCCTACAACTAAAGCCCACATGAAGAAGGCAAGCTTGGCCTATAAATACACTACTAAGCACTCCAAGTAAGGGGCCTCTCCTCTCCTTCTCATTTGGGAGATATCACTTATCTCTCTATACAATCTCTCTCTACCTTTGCTCTTCCTATTCCCTTACAAGTTCACTAATGTTGATCGTCGGAGTGTAGATAATCGGGGCCAACCCCGCGCTTTCACAGGTTCGGCGCCTCCCTTGTTTCTTGGCTGAAACAGTGGGTTTGGTGGATTGGCGGTGGAGGAAGGGTCTGTAACGGCGGGATGATCGGAGGTGGGTTTACAATTCATCTTTGTTTATTGGGTAGGGAAATGGATGAGCAAAGTTAGAGGGAGAGAGCTTGGAAAAGGTAGGTAGGTTATAGAGAGAGCTGCTGGGAAAGTGGAATGATTTTGGGGAAGGTTTTTTTTTTTTTTTTTTTTGCGATTTTGGGGAAGGAAGGTAGGTTAATGTTTATATATTTATTTTTATTTTTCTTTTTGTATTTTCTTTCTATTAATCCACGTGGATGGGTGCGTCAATAAATCGCCAACTCAGCATTTTCCGTCAGTCCAGTCACACCGTTAACTGACACCGTTAAAAGAATGGACGAAATTGGCTATTTTGTGTTTTCAAATAATTATGGCTATATTTGTCACAAACGTGAAAGTTATGGCTATGGAAGTGTATTATTGAAAGCTATGAAAGTTATGGCTAAATTTATCTATATATTATTGAAAGAAATTCTGAAATCAAAATTCAAGTAACACTGATTCAAACATTAAATAGTAAATTATGCGCGTATGGTTTAGTTTAGACAGAATACATAAGTATAACCAAAACATTGACCTTGTGACAAATATAATATTTTTTGTTTTTGTTTACAAATATAACAAAATTCCTACAACATGTGCAGATCTTCGAGAAGAATCCCACAAAGATCAACAACTACGGAATTTGGCTGCGCTACCAGAGCAGGACAGGTTACCACAACATGTACAAGGAATTCCCACTAGCAGATAGAATTTGATAGAGTGCAATCATAGTGCAATTTTTGGTTCTAAAGCTAAATTTATTATCGAACCGCAATTTTCAAAGATCACCATTTCTCAAGTAGACAGTCCCACTAGTTGGGCTCTGATTAGATACTAGCATAGTCAGGCCCAATAGTGATGGGGTTTGGGTTAAAACCCAATCTAACAGCCCAATTTCCTCAAAATTAGGGTTTGCTAAAATCGCAGCATTACCCGCTCCTTATATCCGTCATTAAATTGCACGGATCATCTCTACCTGCGGCTGGGATAATGGATTCTCCAACCCTGCAGCCGCCATATCTTCCAAATCCTTCCTTCCTATCCGGAAACCAGAATCGTTCTGAGCAATCATTTTGGGTATAAACCATTTCGTATGTTAATATTTTGTCCCAGTGGAACTGAGATTTCTGTGAATGAATGCTTCATTATCTGGTCATTGTGGATTTCTCCATTCCCAGCTGACTCGTTCCCTTGAAGCCATATTGCTTGTGTTGCTTCTTCGTCATTAAATCAACCTCTCAATGCTTTCTGGATTTCGGGGGTCACTGAAAGAGCAACTAAATTTTACTTCACCTCCATCCATGGAAACGATTTTGGTCTCTTTGTTCAGTTGCTTGATGATTGTACCATTTGGGTTGTTGAGAACAGAACAGCTTCATCATCTAGTCGATGAGGGTTTATAGATTCCCATTTGACTCGTTCCCTTGAAGCTACATCACTTGTGCTGCTCCCTCTTATTTTCTCTGCTCGACTTGCTAAATTCTTTGCGTGTCGAGAAAGATGGGAGCGGCTACATTCTGTGTTATTCTATGACCTGTAAAATCTGAGGTATGCTTTAAATGTAGTCTCTATGTACCTAAAAGTCCAGTCCTCAGTCCAACTACACAAGTACATTGGATGAAATCTTCCCAAGTTACTGCGCACACAGGAGCTGGATTTGCTGCTCCAGCAGAGAGCAGAGTTCCACAGTACTCTGTATTCAGCAATGAAGCAGAGCCAATGGGTTTCCTCTGTGACTAAAATTTGGATTGAATTCATATGATCAGTGAAACCGCGAAAACTCACTTGCAGGATTTTGAATTGAGTTGGTTATATGACGTCATTCTTGCTCTTATCCCATCTGTTTTCTGTGGAGATGAACAACTGATGAAAGGATCATTTGGCACCTGCGAAGGCTTAAACAGAAAAACAGAACAGAGTACAGAGGGTTTGAAAGAAAATTACATTAAAAGATTATGTCTTTTTAGTATCTGCATCACTTTTCTCTATGAAAAGTTCAGATTTTATGAAACTTTTACCTGTCAATTACCTAACCAGCTCCAGTAATGGAAGGGTGTTTCGATTTTGCCTCACATACAAGCTACAACACCTGCAACTCTGCTCTTGGATCCTTTACACCCCATTCCCTACATAGCTCTTTCAACTGACAGGACATTGACATTTTCTTCACCTTTTGAGCAAGGCTTCACCAAACCAATCAATGTAAATTCAGTCCAAATTGTTGAAGCACATGACTCTACGGCAAATTGCATAATGTTACTCGTACTTACCCTAGTCTAGGGGAGCGGTTACGGTGAGTACTTTTTTATAGTAATCACCGTGGTTACTAAGGGTAAATTGGGTATGGAAAAATAAATTATATTAATTAATTTTTTAATAAATTACATTTAAGGCAGTTACAAAAATCTATTAATTAAAAATCTCTTTTTCTCTCACTTCCGTAATCTCCAGCCAGATTTCCTTTCCATATTTTTCTCAATCTTTCTGCCAAAAAAAAAAAAACCGAAATCAGTACCAATCCATTAGACAAACACTACCACTTTGAAAAATATCAATACCATTGCAGAAATAAATCTATACCATTACACGAAAACTACCATTGCAGAAATAAAATTATACCATTACACGAAAACTACCATTCAAGAAATAAAAACACTACCATTTCACAAAACATCAATACCATTCAAGAAATAAAAACACTACCATTTCGCAAAACATCAATACCATTGCAGATTTAATCACTACCAATGCGACAAAATCGATACCAATGCGACAAAATCGATACCAATGTAACAAAATCAATACCAATGCGACAAAAACTATACCAATACGACAATAACACTACCACTACGAAAAAAATGACTACCATTTAAAAAAAATGACTACTGAAAAAAAATGACTACCATTTAAAAAAAAACATACCATTCCAATGGAATTCCTCCTTCCAATTGCAGAGACGATGGTGAGCACGACGAGGAAACTACCGGGATTCTCCTCATCCTCTTCGATCCGAACCGTCTCCTTCTTGACATTGACGTCGTTCCTGATCGTGACGGCGGCGGCAAGCAGGGGAGCGGGGAGCTGAGGTGGCCTGCAGGCAGGGGAGCGGGGAGCAGAGGTGGCCGTCTCCTTCTGGTGCTCGACGTACGACGCGGCCGGCAGGGGAGCGGGGAGCTGAGGTGGCGGCGGCGGCGAGGGGTAAGGGGGGAGGTGGATGAGGTGGGCGGAGGTGGAAAAATAAATTGGGTATGGGGGGAGAGAGTGGAAGAGAGGGGAGGGCGGGCGGAGGTGGGGGGAGGGGATGAGGTGGGCGGAGGTGGGGTGGGAGGTGAGGTGGGCAGAGGGAGGGTGAGGGCGGCGGGAGGGTGAGGGAGGCGGACGGCGGGAGGTGGGAGGGGTGGAGAGGGTAGAGGTAGGGTTGGAAAAGGTAGGTTATAAATATAGGTAATAATCTGGTGTGATAATATTTTGATTCCCAAACTATCCTTAATTTAATCTTGACCGTCATTTTAAAAAAAGGAAAAAATAGAGCTAATGAAGGGTTTAGATATAGGTAGCCACAATGGTTACTAAAAAACTAGTATCCACCCTAACGCATTCCCCTAGTCTAGTCCACCGAAAGGCCCGGTATACTTGTACAAACTGAATAAGACCTTGTAGGCAAAGATGAATGAAAGCGCAGGATCAGTTGTCTAAGTTTGAAAAACAGGGCTTGGGTCCTTGTCTGCAACTGCAACTGCAGATTTAATGCAGTAGAGTGAACCCCATCCTCTGAATTACTACAATGTAGTGATTTTGTGAAATGCCAGGTATTAAATTGGGGGTAGTCAAACTTCCTTTTCATACAAGAAAGGTTTTACCCCTTCAATTTGCTAACTTGGTGGAAGCAAGCAGATTTCTTAGGCCTAAGTTGGTTGTGTACAGTTGTAATCGCCTTGCCGCATGTAACTGAACAAAGATATCGTCTTACCTTTACATTGTTAACGTATTTAACGGAACGAAAAATGGTACCATTAATCTAAAACGTCCCAAATTGATGTATTATTGAACATATAGTCTTATAATACTCTGAAAATTTAACCTATACATCACACATTTGCACCCGAACACAGACTTAACCTAAAATACATCCCTACCTTCTTCAAGTTCCAAACAGAAGCTTCTAACTTTCTATAAAAGCAAGACTTGCTTACACACACTCTTCATGCAAACAGAGGAAGGGAGTTGTGAGAATCACATAGACATCCATTTCCCTGCCTAAGCCAAAGCCATGATGATCTTTCTCCTCCTCCTCCTTCTCTTCTCCTACATCACTTCCCACCTCTACAAACTCATATCCCAGAACAGAGCAAACTCATGTTGCTACATGCTGCACTACGAGTGCTACAAGGGCACAGAAGACAGGAAGCTCGACACCGAAACGTGTGCCAAGATCGTGTTGAGGAACAAGAACCTTGGGCTGCAAGAATACAGGTTCCTCCTCCAGACAATAGTCAGCTCTGGCCTTGGTGAAGAAACTTACGGCCCAAGAAACGTCCTGGAAGGCAGGGAAGCCACTCCACTCCTCACAGACTCCCTCTCGGAGTTCGATGACATTGCCTTCGACACCTTAGACGCCCTCTTCGCCAATACGAGAATCTCCCCTACCGACATCGACATCTTGGTGGTCAACGTCGCTCTGTTTTCGCCCGAACCTTCTCTGACCTCCAGGGTTGTCAACAGGTACAAGATGAGGGAAGACATCAAGACGTTCAACCTTTCTGGGATGGGATGCAGTGCAAGCATTGTGGCCATCGATTTGGTCCGGCAACTGTTCAAGAGTCGCGGGGAGGCTTTGGCCATTGTGGTGAGCACAGAGTCGCTTGGACCAAACTGGTACTGTGGGAAGGAGAGGTCCATGATTCTGTCCAACTGCCTGTTCCGGTCCGGTGGGTGTTCGATGCTGCTGACCAACAATGGGAGCTTGAAGGGGAAAGCAGTGATGAAACTGAAACAATCGGTGAGAACCCATTTGGGGGCAGATGATGAGGCATACAACTGCTGCATTCAAATGGAAGATAAGCTTGGACATGAAGGCTTCCTACTCACAAAGGGACTGCCTAAAGCTGCTGCTATAGCCTTCACATTGAACCTAAGGGTTCTGGTCCCCAAGATACTCCCAGTGAAGGATCTCCTGCGCTATGTCCTCCACACTTACAGTCGAAATAAGGCGAAACGCGGAGGTACTCCATCTCTTCAAGCAGCAGGAGAAGGGCTCAACATGAAGGCAGGAATTCAGCACTTCTGCATACACCCTGGTGGGAGGGCTGTGATTGATGGGGTTGGGAAGAGCTTAGGTCTCAACGACTACGATCTCGAGCCATCTCGAATGGCATTGCAACGATTCGGGAACACCTCGGCTGGTGGGCTTTGGTATGTGTTGGGGTACATGGAAACCAAGAAGAGGCTGAAGAGAGGTGACAGGATATTCATGATTGGGTTTGGTGCAGGTTTCAAGTGTAACACTTGTGTGTGGGAGGTGACTAGGGATTTGGGAGATGAGAATGTTTGGGAAGACTGCATTGATTCTTACCCTCTTCCTCCACTCAATGTCAGCCCTTTCCTGGAGAAGTTTAGCTGGATCAATGATGACGATCTCACCCATGTGGATTTCAGTTCTGTATTCGACAAGGTTTGAACCAGCCTCTTTCTGGTGAAGTGGGTAAAAGAAGTTCAATATCTGTTCATGACATCAAGGACTGATGAGTTTGTTTGGTTATATGTTCTTAGTATTGGTGGATTTCATTCGTCTCATTGCAAATCCAAGTTGGTTTCCTTTTCTGGGTTCCTATATGTCTGTCTGCCTTCAAGGGAAACTAATAAGGGGTGGCTTGGCAAGCATATGCATTTTAGAATACATGAGTTTCAACATTTTATGCATTTTGTAAGTGTGGTGTAAGATTATAATGTAAAATCAAATACATGAGTGTTGGTTATCTTAAATAGTATCCAATCACAAAAAGTAAAAATTATATCACCTTATAGAAAGAAAAATGATAGTGTTGATAAATCTATATTAAATAATAAAATTATTAGGAAAAGGGTATTTAGTGTTGATAAATCTATATTAAATAATAAAATTATTAGGAAAAGGGTTAATTCCCTAGTTTGGCACGAAGTTTAGCGTTAGTGACAGTTTTGGCCCCATTTTTCAAATAAGACGTTTATGGCCTACTTTTAAAATTATTAGACAAATTTGGCTCGAAAATTTCTTTGACTGTTAATATTGACGGTCAAACAGTATTCCGGTAGTGACTCAGCAAAAAACAGCTAATGTGGCATACTACATCATTAAATAATATTAGTTTAATTTTATAATTCAATTAACATTAAAAATTAAAAAATTAAAAAATCCCCTCTTATCCCAAATCGCCAAAGCCCCAAGCCCCATAAGAACCCTAAATCTAAATGCCGACTTCTTATCTAATTAAAAACCCGCGGCAGCTTCATCTTCCCCAGCGTCCAGCCGGCGCAGCGCCGCATCCGACGAAGTCACCGCAGCTTCAAAGGCTCTCCCATGGTGTTACGATATCGAGCCATCGTAGCATTTCATTAATTACTGGGCTTGCGTATCTTTTCTTATTAGTCGTATTAAGTAATCATTTGGGAATAAAGTATTAATTATAATTAGTAATTGTTCGAGCTGGTTAGGAGATGTGTTAGGTCTTGTTTAGGGTAAATTGCAAGGTTGGTCGCTGGGATTACATAAAACGTCCACATTTGGTCACTAGAAATATTTAATTTCATTCGTCGTCACTAAAATTAGTTAAACAGTTTAAGTTTGGTCACTCTCAGTTAACTTATGTTACTCTCCGCTAACGACGTCAGTTTTTTACTGACGTGGCTTACAGAAATGTACAGTAACCCAATTTTAACTAGAAAAACTTAAAACCCAACCGCCACATCATTAAACCTGCCATGTCATTAAACCCAACCGGTCCCAACAGGTGACCCGATCGTTGACCTAACACAATCTCCAATGCAGCTCTCTCTAAGACCCCTTCATTCCCCAGACCAGACGGAGGCTTCCAACCATCGTTGCCAACATCAACTCTGCGTTCCTCTCCCGTCGCCACGAAATACTTCCTCCTCAGATCCTTCTTGTAATCGGACAGGATCTTCTCTCTGAGAAAGAGGAACTCGTTCGTCTCTCTAATTTTCACCCTCTGTTCGTTGGTGACGGAGACCCTAGTTTTGTCGATGGGGGTTCCTTCTCTGTAGAGCTCCGAGGTCTTCTGGCTGACCATGTTTGAAGATTCGAGGGACTCGAGGCTGGCCTTGATGTTCTTGGCCTTTCGGAGGACGACCATCGTGTCGGATTGGATTCAGTCTCTCAACCCTCAAAGGACATTGGCACTGTGCGAAGACTTGGTTTCTTCATTTAGGGCTTCGAGGTCGGACAAGAGATCGGTGATCTCTTCCATCTCGGACTTGATTGAGTCGGCTCGGAGGAAGAACTCGACAATTTTGGGTTTGTCGTTGGCGGGGGCGAGTTCCGGTGAATTAGTGCCGCCGCCGCAATCCAACTATGCTTCCAGGTCCTTACTGGCTTGCTTCTTGACTTCCACAGCAAACACAAGCTTTGCACCTTTTCTTTCCGAGAAAAAAAAAAAAACAAAAAAGAACAGAACAAGTATTACCGACAAGGGAACGAGCACAAGAAGCCTGGGTTTCTGTGAAGTTCCTCGCCATAACTAACCACCATTAGAGAGGGGGAAAAACTCATCATCAAGACTAATTTCAGAAGAGAATCCAGATATTTGGTGCAGGAACAAAGAAATCGAATCCAGAAACGAAGCAAAGAAGCAAATGAGTATTTCTTTAAGGATCCGAAGAATGCCGTAGAAACCTAGAAAACAGAAAGAATCCATGGCCATGAGTATTTATTTTAAGATCCGGCTGATAATCGCAGGGGCCGGGTGGAAAAAGAGAAGAGACTGGTTGGTGAGCGAGCGGAAGTTTGGGATCTGGTGGGAGGATGGGAAGGAAAGAAGGGAAGATTGACGGCGACGGCGATGAAGAAGATGATGAGGTTGGAAGCCGTCGTCGGGTCTGGGGAATGAAGGATTAGAGATGCATTGGAGACTGGGAATGGTTGAGTAGGTTTTTTTAGTTAGGTCGGGTCATGGATCGGGTCATCGGTTGGGTTTAATGACGTGGCAAGTTTAATGATGTGGCTGGTTGGGTTTTAAGTTTTTCTAGTTAAAATTGGGTGACTGTACATTTCTGTTAGACACGTCAGCAAAAAACTGACACCGTTAATGGAGACTAACGGAAGTTAACGGAGCGTGACCAAACTTGAACCGTTTAACTAATTTTAGTGACGAGTGACAATGAATGGAATTAAATATTTCTAGTGATCAAACATGAACGTTTTTTTAATAATTTCAGTGACTAACCTTGGAATTAACCCGTCTTGTTGAGTATTTAATTAATGTTTCTTGTAAGGGAAGAAAGGGGATTCTAGTAGGAAAAGGATAAGGAGAGAGGCTAAAGTCTTGGGTGAGAAGGAAAGGGATTTGGTTGTGTAACTCTAACAATAGAGACGTTGTCTATGAATAATAGTATGAGATGATTGGAACCCAATTTAAGTTTGTTTGCTTTGATTATTTCTTCCGTTTAGTTTAGTAGTTTCGTAGCTATTTTGGGGATGTTCTCGCCATTAAGGAGATCCTCTACTCGAGAGCGTCGAGCAACGTATCCAAAAGTCTGGAGAAGAAAAGATCCAGTACGTAGAATTCCGCCCCAACGGCGCATCTACGTAACAGTTGGTATCAGAACCTGGTTCTCCGACACCGCAAAATCATGACGATTGAAGGTATTCAAGCAAGAGAATTGGTCTCTATGTGGAACCGATATGTGGAGAGGTTTTGCCCCGATCGCATCGACTCCATGAGGTTGCCAACTACCGAGTTGGAGAGCCCGCCGGCTAATTGTAGCTCCGATTTCACCACCGTACGCCAACTCATCGCATCAACAAAGGCCGCAGCTGAAGAGCTAACCCTAGCTTCTTCCCCACCACCGATTATGCTAGAAGCCGCACCGCTATTGTTATCGACGATCGATCCAACTAGGGAGAGGTTAACCCTAGCCCCAACCCTGCTGTCTGCTACGAATTGGGAGCTTCCTGTTACGGATATGCGTAGGGGGGTCAAATATTGATGTTATTATTATTATTATTGGGTAAGGGATTAATTATATTAGTAAACGTTAGCTTATAGGAGAAGGATTCTAGTGGAGTAACGGCCAAGTAAGGCTTGTCGAGTAGGATTAGGATTACTTTAGGGTTTATCGGCTATATATATGTACTTACGATGTTAGTTCGATTATCATGAATGAAGAAGAAAACATTTTAGTTTATCGTTTGTTCTTTAGTTATCTTTGTATTTTCATAGGAGTAGCGTTTATTCAGTAGTTCGATCACGTTACGTGGAGTCCCTAAGGAAAATCTACGTAACAGTTGGTATCCAGGGCGGACCCACTTGCAAGAGTGGTTTGTCAATTGACAGACCTTAAATGCAAAATTTGGACATATTACTAGCGTAAAATTTGATTTTAGTGATGGCAGTATATGGATTTGAAATTATTTGACAACCCTTAGAGATTTTGATTCATTCTTGAATACCCTTGATGAAATTTCTGGGTCCGCCACTGTTGGTATCAGAGCCCCGTTAATGAGATCAAAGTATCTCTATTGGCGGGAGCAGCTGGGCCAGGTAATCTGGTAACTCCGGCAGCCAGCCAGGACGAGGTTTATCCTCGACGGTTTCGATCCAGTCAGTCCGCTACCTAAGCCATGCTTGGACTTTCCGCCCTGGCTCGACGATGATTCCACATCCGGCGCTGAGATGTCTCTTCCTGCGGCAACGGAGGGGCCAACCCTAGTCCTATCGACCACCACCGCTGATAATCTGTCCGTCGCCACCAACGAGGAATGTCCCGCCGCAGGAAGAATCCTCCCACTACTCCAGGATCAACCAGCTGCGAGTCCCATCATCGTTCAGCTCGCGGGGGAAGATCGAGAGACGCAATTGGCGGAGCTCTCCGCCAAATACCAGGCGCTGAATCATGCATGTTAGCTTTGGTTTCGACGAACCCGGCTCGAAGAGGTTCACACCAAGGGAACAATGGCGTCTCATCGACGGGAATCGACATCGTACATTGGAGATCCTGAACTGCAACATAGGGCGTATGGAAGCATGGCGTCTTTGGAAGGATACTGGTGACCCGACCTATGAAGCGAAGGCGTCTGAAGACATGGAATCAATTGAGGGGTCGACTTCAACGCTCGCAACCGCTGCACCGACGTCAGCGCCATCGCAATCACGAGTTGAATCTATTGAGTCAAGCATATCAATGGCCGCAATCAACGAAGGAAAATGCTGCAATCTTATAAGTAAAAGGAAAGAAAATCAAAGACAGCATGAAGGAGGAGAGGTTCTGCAATCAGCAAGAACAATAAAGGAAATAACTTCCCAATGGCTAGTTATAGCTAAAAATGCATATTTGCCACCTAGAAAATCAATACAAAGAAGGAAGGTTCTAACGACTGAAAAATTAGAGAAGAAATCAAATCAAGAAGATTGGATACAACAGTGCACAATGAGGCTCAAATGACCAGCTCACTACAAATCAAATTAGAGGATTGAGTTCTCAATCAAATCATCACAAATAGGGAAGGAATTTGAATGACTAACGGTCATATTCTTGCCTATAAAAGGCGACCTGAAGAACCAGCAGCAACATTTTCGGAGATCAACAACGTTAGCTAAGACAAGAGGGGATTTTGTGAGTGTAGCGAGATTGATAGAAAAGGGGGTTTCTCAAAGGGTTTGGGGAGAACAACTTTGAGGGTTAGTGTTGGGGAAACACTGTTGCGAGTTGCTGGGAAGCAATTCGGGGTTTGGTGAGAGTGAATTTGATCCATCAGGTTGAGATTGATCAAAGGGTTCTTGGGTAGATATTGTTACGACGAACTTCAACGCAAGATCATTAGTGAATCGTCGGAGATCACATAACTGTGAGTCTCCGACCGTGGAGTAGTCAGTATTGGGATCCTCATTCTCCCAATACTGGAAACCCCGTAAAAATCGTGTGTTGTGTTCTCATTTTGCATTTCTGTTTAAGTTTCGGCATAGTCTCTGTGTGTGCTCTGTTTAGTTAAAACCAATGAGAAAGTGAAAACCATTAACAATTTGGTTTAAGTTTCGGCATAGTTTCGAAAATCAATGAGAAAGTGAAAACCATTGACAATTTGGTTAAAACAAAAAAGAAATGAATCTCTTTCAATAACAAGAATTGTTATCGTCAATTAGTTAAAAATGAAATAAAAAAATTAACTTTTTGATTTAGTGTATGAAACATTGAAACTCACCTCCTTATCAATTTCTCTCCAAATTAAATTAATCAATCGAGTCTATAATGAGTCCAACTTGTTTGAATCAAATTACCTGGATTTTTGTTTTGTCCAATCAAACCAATAACCAAGGCACTTGGATTTTGGATGAACGAGCTTCCCATTTCACAAACACAAGCGGAACTCTCCAAAAACGAAACGCAAAAGCATGGCCAAAAACAAACGAAACGCAAAAGCACTCATCTCCTCTCTTTCCCTCACCTTCGCTGCGCTTTCCTCTTCGTCTGCCCTCCATCTTGTCGTCTTCTTCTTTTCTTCTACCACTTTTCCTTTTCTTGTTGGTTATCAGCTCTACCTCTCTCACTTCTCTTCCTTTCCTCTCTGGTCTTCCTCCACTCCAATTATTCCCCACTCCTCTCTCAAGCTGATGATCCCTTGAACCTCTACTTTCCCTCTTCCCCTGAGAACTGCTGCCACAGCTTGCTCTGACCATGGCTTCCCCTGTAGTAGAAGGTGAGTCGGCTTTTAATCGAAATCACTCAGCTTTGCTCATTCGAGATCGGCTTGCTTTTTCAGTCTCGCGCTTACTGCTAATTAGTAGCACTTTTATTGCTGCCTTAGTTAATGGTGATTATTGAATTAATTGAATGAATCTAGGAACCCATAATTTTTTCTTTGTTCATAATTGCTTACAATCAGAACTTTTCGTGGAAAGTTCACATCTTTGGCTTAGATTCCTGTTTCATGGAAAAAATTCGACTCTGGGTTCTCTTGAGGGAGGCTGGGAGGGGGTTTAATTCTGATAGTGTTAGCGGATAGTTGAGAACATCAAACTGATTTGTAGAAAGAAAATGTTTTGGTGGGGAAGATCGTTACTGCTAACCCATGAAACACTAATGGAGGAAGTTCTTTTACATGTTTTCTGATGGATTTCAATTCAAACCCATTTGGATAGGAGCAGAGATGGACTTAGAGAACGGACTTCTGACTCCTCAAAAATCCCAAAACTCACTGGGTGAGCCATCACCAACACCTTCACCATCCTCTGCATCCACAGCTCCTGCTCTGGTTCTGTCCAACTCCGGGAAAAGGATGGATCAAGCTGGGAAAAAGAAGTATGTGAAGCAAGTAACTGGGCGACACAATGATACCGAGCTGCACTTGGCAGCTCAACGTGGCGATTTGGCTGCTGTGAAGCAGATTCTAGATGGTATTGATTCTCAAATGGTGGGGACTTTGACTGGAGCAGACTTTGATGCTGAGGTTGCAGAGATAAGGGCGTCGGTTGTCAATGAGGTTAATGAGTTGGGAGAGACTGCCTTGTTTACTGCTGCTGACAAAGGACACCTAGAGGTGGTGAAGGAACTTCTCAAGTATGCAAGTAAGGAGTGCACTACTAGGAAGAACAGGTCGGGTTTCGACCCTCTCCATATTGCTGCTATGCAAGGACACCATGGTAAGTGTCTTGACTGTTTGTCTTTGTTCCTTGTTTCTTATGATTGTATTGCTTTCTCTGTTTTCTTGTTTTTTTTTTAGCATGAAGCAGTAGCATCCTTTGACAATGTGTCACATATTGCAGCCATTGTTCAAGTTCTACTTGATCATGACCCTAGTCTGAGCCAAACATATGGTCCGTCGAATGCCACACCTCTTGTATCTGCTGCCACCAGAGGGCATACTTCTGTAGTCATTGAATTGCTATCGAAGGATGGCAGCTTACTGGAGATCTCTAGGTCAAATGGTAAAAATGCTTTGCATTTAGCTGCGAGGCAAGGGCATGTTGAAATCGTGCGGGCATTGCTCACTAAAGACCCTCAATTGGCACGAAGGACTGACAAGAAATGGCAGACCCCATTGCACATGGCTGTCAAAGGTCAGAGCTGTGAGGTGGTGAAATTGCTTCTTGCAGCTGATGCTGCTATTGTTATGCTGCCAGACAAGTTTGGTAATACCGCATTGCATGTCGCTACCAGAAAAAAGCGTGCAGAGGTATTTCTTTGCACGAAGTTGCTTACATCTGTCATTGATTGTATAGCTTCAGTTTAATTTGCAGTTGGCTCTGTGTATATATGGGGTGGGGTTGTATTAATTAGTAATCCCATAATTTTGCATCTTCATGGCAATCATGGCAAGATAGTGCGGATATATAGATGTCTCATATACTCTGGATCTCTTGTTTAACTTTCCTCTCTCAAGCTTTTACTGGTCATAAAGAGACAGTGATGTCAAATGATAAATCTTTTTCATTGCAGATTGTGAATGAATTGTTATTACTTCCTGATACAAACGTCAATGCACTGACTCGAGATCACAAGACAGCACTTGATATAGCTGAAGGGCTCCCCCTTTCAGAAGAATCTTCTGAGATAAGGGAGTGTCTCTCACGCTATGGAGCCATCAGAGCTAATGAACTCAACCAACCAAGGGACGAACTAAGGAACACGGTTACTCAAATCAAGAAAGATGTGCATACTCAGCTCGAGCAAACCAGAAGAACCAACAAGAATGTCCACAACATCTCCAAAGAACTGAGGAAGCTACACCGTGAAGGGATCAACAACGCCACAAACTCGGTGACCGTTGTAGCTGTGCTATTTGCAACCGTTGCCTTTGCAGCAATCTTCACTGTGCCTGGAGGGGATGATAACAATGGGATAGCCGTGGTGGTGACCCATGCTTCTTTCAAGATCTTCTTCATCTTCAATGCCATAGCTCTCTTCACATCACTGGCTGTTGTTGTGGTCCAAATCACATTGGTGAGAGGCGAGACAAAAGCAGAGAAAAGGGTAGTGGAGGTGATCAACAAGCTGATGTGGCTGGCCTCTGTGTGCACCTCGGTGGCATTTATGGCCTCTTCTTACATAGTGGTTGGCAGAAGACACGAATGGGCTGCGATTCTGATAACTTGTGTTGGTGGAGTGATCATGGCTGGGGTACTTGGCACCATGACTTACTATGTAGTGAGGTCGAAGAGGAGTCGGTCAATGAGGAAGAAGGAGAAACATGCCAGGAGAAGTGGGTCGAATTCATGGCATCAATCTGACTTCTCCAACTCTGAAATTGATCGAATTTATGCCCTTTAAATGACTGGTAATTGTAATCTCCCTGTAAGTTACTTCCAAAACCTGATCTTTTACTGTAGGCCAGTGACATGAATGTCAGAACAACAAACATGTCCAGCAACTATGTATGTATAGAAAAAAAGACCAAAGCTTTGATTTGCATATGGGTGAGGAGATTTCTTTGCTGAGGCAGCCATTTTCATCACATCTTGCTCATTGAAACAAATGCATGTACTGTACTTGGCAAATTCGCTTATGTACTCCAAGGATATGCGCTGCTGCAGCTTGAGTATAGAGCTAACTGATACAGAACAGAAAATTAGAAATGCTTCGAGACTACCAGGATTATGAGCACAAGAGTTTTTTTTTTTTTTTTTTTTTTGCTGGTGTGGAAAAAGAATGTTCTTATTGTTGGTGAAATTGGTCAAAGCAGACGGCTAATCTAATCACACGGATGAAAATGACTTGCAGGCAGAGAGAGGATCTAGTTCTGCTCCTCTGCCGGCTCTCAACAATGGGGATAGTATTTCTTATGGAAAAATAGAAATAAATAACAATGATATTTTATTTGGAAAAAATCCCAAAATACACACGTTCTTAAAAAAAATTCCCAAAATACATAAATTATAAAAAAAATTCCAAAACTACACATGTTTGAGCATCACCGTTTTTGACAAAGGCGGTCAAGATAATCACCGTGTTTGTCAAAGACGGTGAATATTTCACCGTTTAAAACCAAAACGGTGACGTATTCACCGCCTTTATCTAAAACGGTGATGTATTCACCGTGTTTGTGGAAGACGGTGAATGTATCACCGTTTTTGTAGACAACGGTGATTACCTTCACCGTTTTAGGGTAAAGCGGTGATATACTACCACGTTTCCCACCCCTGGTAGGTCAAAATTAGGTCACACCTACCTATTGTTCACCGTTTGAGACAAACGCGGTGATGTTGTTCACCGTTTTTGACAAAAACGGTGAATAATAGGCAGATTTTCCTATAAATACCAACCCACCAGCAGAAGCAAAAACATAACCACTCCCCCCTTCTTCAAATTTCAGCAACAAAAATCGAGCATAATACACAGAACAGACATTTTTCGGTATGTTGAGACTTTTCGTATTATTGTCTAATTCTGTTTTTAGTAGTTATAGTATGATTAAATTTTCGTATTATGTTGTTGTTAGTTAGTTGAATTTATGTTCGTTAGTTATAGTATGATTTAATTTTCGTATTATGTTGTTGTTAGTTAGTTGAATTTATTTTCGTTAGTTATGAGATGGACAATATTAGTTGTACAATATGATTTTGGTTAATTTTACTGTCTTTAAGCTAATATATACTTATCCTCGATTTGTAGATATGGGTAAATTCAAGAAGTTTCATCTTACTATTCGGTGGAATGGAAGGGTGACAAACTCTAACATAGGCATTGATTATGAGGACGGCGAATCCATTATGCTGAACATTGGTTCCCGATTCAATTTTCAAGAACTCTGTGATCTTTGTGCAGAAAGGGTTTGTACGAGTGGACAGACGAGACTTGGCAAAATTACTTACCGGTATCCAGACATGAGTGCTGGCGGGGTCGTTTTCCAAGAAGTTGTCATAAACGATGATGACGCGGTTACGATGATGTTACAGTTCCTAAGCGATAACCAAGTCCGGCTTGCAGAGGTGTATGTTGAGACCGAGGCGGTCGGTGAATCTCATTCTCACCAATATTCTTATGATGATGGTTTTGCAGGAGGGTACGAATGGGGTGGTAGTTCGAGCAACTACCAAGGCGGTGGTTATACAGGAGGTTACGGGGAGGGTGGTGGTTCAATCAACTACGGTGGATCGAGTAGTGCAGGATGGGACAAATACTCGCAACCTCCTAAACCAGCCCCATTTGTTGAGGCCGATGGTGTTCAATGGCCTGCTTGGGGGCCAGAGTGGTATGGAATCGAGAATACCATTCAATCAGGGCGTACTTCACATGAGCGAGAGGACGATGTTGGTGATCGTGGTCATGTTGATCCTTCTAGCCCGAGCTATCCATTCGAGTCGAGCGACGAGGATACTGAGGAAGATTTGAGATCAGTGAGCGAGGAGGAGGAAGATACTGATGATAACGAGGATGAGGCGGCATTTCGTGAGGCACCCACGCCATATTACACACAGGTTCCAACTCAATTTTTACATAGTCAGAATGATCCCCCTGATTATGTCCCTATGCCAGTGTACAATCCGACGGCCAATTTGGAGGTGGGTATGGCGTTCCCATCGAAAGACACTGTGCAGGATGCGTTTACAGAAGAGGCGTTGAGGCGCAATTTCGAGTGGAAGGTAAAATATTCTGACAGTAAACAACTACATGTCATATGCAAGCATGATGCAGAGGGTTGTACGTGGCAACTGCGGGCTGCAAATATGAAGAGAAAGGGTGCTTGGGTGATTCGCAAAGCTGAGACGATCCACACATGCTCCTCTTCTATACTTTCCCAAGATCACAGGCAACTAAAAGCAAAGAAGGTTGGGAGAACTATTAAGCACCTTATAGAAGCACAACCAGATATCAAGGTGAAAGCTATCATGACAGAGGTGAAGGATCGACATTCTTACACGATAAGGTATAAAAAAGCATGGCATGATAAGCAGAAAGCCATGGCTGAGGTGTATGGTGATTGGGAGGATTCGTATGCTTTACTCCCTAGACTTATGGGAGCAATGGAGGAGTCCAATCCTGGGACTGTTTTCGTCCCAGTATACAACAATGTATACACTGAGGATCAAGTTCGAGTACAGGATAAGTTGATGTTCCATCGTCTTTTTTGGGCTTTTAAACCATGCATTGACGGATTTGGGTTCTGCATACCGGTTATTCAGGTATTTTACCAACTAGTTCCAGTTTTAAATGTTGTATTATTTGTTGTTTAGTATATTTCATACTAATTATAGTCTTAATTTTTATTCAGGTTGACGGAACTTTCCTTACTGGGAAGTACAAAGGATGTCTTCTAATTGCCACTGGCGTAGATGGAAACAGGCGGATTTTTCCGCTTGCATTTGCATTAGTGGAGGGGGAGAACAGCTTAAGTTGGGCTTGGTTCTTTGACCAACTGCACGAGCACGTGACACAGCGGGAAGATATTACGATTATATCCGATCGACATGCGGGGATAAGGAATGCTGTTGGTGGTTTTCCCGACGAGTGGGGGTGGAGATGGAGATGGTGTATTCGACACTGGCTCGCCAATTTCCAACACAAATTTGGGAAGAAGAAAGACATCAAGAATCTACTTTGGAATGTAGGTACTAATGTTTTACTTATGCGATTTAAGTTTGTGTTTATTAAGCTGATAATCAAAATTTTATTCATCATGTATTGACCAGTTAGTCTTTTGTTCACCTTTTAGCAGTTGCACATCAACCAAAAAAGTACGAGGAGAAGATGAAAACGATCCGTCATACCCACCGAGCTGGAGCAGTATGGGCTGAAGGTCAAGAGTTGCCCATGTGGACGTTCCATATGGACAACGGGGCCAGATGGGGCATTGCAACTACCAACCATGGAGAAAGTATAAATAATGTGTACAAGGGTCTTCGAGCGATGCCTATTTCTGTCATCGTGGAGATGTCTTACTGGAAGGTCAACGAGTGGCGAGTTGCTCGGCTACAGCTAGCAATAGGGAGGGAGTTGCAAGGTCATTCAATAGCACATGACGTATTCGCTCAAAAAATGGCGCAACATTCCCAAACCTGTCCTCGCTATATAGGGCTCCAACCTTGGATGCCAAGCGGGCAAGTTATTGGTCCCTTTATGAACCACGGGAACAAGCGATTCCTAAAAAAAATAGGGAAAACAACAAATTAGATTAAATAAAGCAAAATAAAACCTTAGAAAATAATAAAATAAAGCAAGAATACTCAAAAAATTACCGGATTGTTATCCCAAATAGCACGGGAGCGATGAGCTACTTGATCGGTTAAGAGACTCGCATCCTTTGGGCCATAATGGATATACAATCGAGGATCGTATATCTCGGCACCCATCTATAAAAAAGTAATGAAATCAGAGATTGTTTTGATAAAAATAAAACAAAAAATCATATTATTTCGATTAAAAAAAATTCATAAACAAAAAACCTACACGAAGAGCCTCTTCGTCCATTTTTTGGCGTAGGCCGGACAGAGGTTCGACGAGTTTAGGTTTGAGCGGGACGGGAACTTAGCGGGACGGGGGCTTTAGGGTCAAACTCTAGTAATTCTTTCTGATGTGGAAGATCGGACTTAGCCGCAACCACAGAGCATACTTAGAACGAGACTAGAGCGGATAAATTGAGGGAGAAAGAAGTGAAATGTTTGTGGGGTGAGTTGAAAGTGAAAGGGGAAGGGGGTATTTATAGTTGGGGGAAGGGGGAAGTGATCTGCCGAGAATTAAATTCTCCCAGCCTTCACCGCGTCGAACAGAAACGGTGAAGTCACCGCGTTTCTCGAGGACGGTGATATGGCGCGGATCGAGCGACGTGGCTCAGCGTGAGGCGTCGGATCTGGAAAGAAAACCACGATCCGCGTCTCACCGTATCCAACGGCCACGGTGAACGCGCCAGGGACGCGGATCGCTGACGCAAACAAACACGGGGTATTCACCGTGTTTGTCCAAGGCGGTGAATACCCCGCGTTAGTCCACGTCAGCGCCTTCACCGTGGACCACTTAAACGGTGAAGGATTCACCGTTTTTGCCTAAAACGGTGAATACTTCACCGTTGTATTTTAGAACGGTGAAATATTCACCGTCTTTGACAAAAGCGGTGATAACCTTCACCGCTTTTGTCAAACACGGTGATGCCCAAACATGTGTACTTTTGGAATTTTTTTTATAACTTATGTATTTTGGGAATTTTTTTTAAAAACTAGTGTACTTTGGGATTTTTTCCATTTTATTTGGAGTAGTTATAGAATCATTGACCCCACAGTTTGATAGCACATGCTAAGAATAAGATCCTACATTTCCATCCCTTGTCCTTGAGTTTCTTCTCAATATTTTCTTAATCATTCTCCAGAATAATTATCTTCTTGAACCGTCCTACTAATATTTTTTGTGTTCGTGCAGTTTATTCATATCGGACTATCGAGGATATAAGAAATCTCAATTTGTTGCTCCTCTCACTTATTCTAATTAGATAATTTTGGCTTTTCAAATAGTTAAGAAGTTTATGGGTTGGGCTAAGAAAATCAAAGATTTGGAACAATTATTTTACTTGCATTGCAAAGTCTTTGTAATACCAAAGTTCTATAGCAGGCAGTAGCCCCTCAATCAGATCCTGTGGCTACTGAGACCAAACAGTGGAAACAAAAACCAAAAACAAAAAAGAACCCTTTTGAAGTTTTCTTGGTGGCCTTATTTAAGGGTTTGGCTTCTAGTCTACAATTGTTGGGGAGTGGATGGTTTCTGTCACCACTTCTAACCTTTATGGCTGAAATAGGGTGTTCAAAACTGGACTCTCAATATTTAAGTTCAGTTTGGATCTCATTTGCTACTATGGTTGGATTCTTCTGTCTAGGTTAAATCAAAGGCAGGCTAGGTGATGGAGTCATTAAACATAATTGTTCCTGTCAAGCTGATAACTTTTCCTCCCAACTTTTTCCCTGCATTTCAATCTCTCATTTTGTCCATTTTCTAACACCTACTTTAGAGTGTGTAAATAAAAATCACCCAACACAGAGAGAAAACCTATGTGGATCCACTACCTGTTTAATTAGTCAAGTATCACGCACAGCAAACTCCCTTGTTCTTCTATTAACACTTGCAAACTGCCATTTATGAAGTGGCTGGTGAGAATAGACCAGAGATCTTCAGATGAAACGCATATCAGCTTTTCATACTGCAACTGATTAAATCTTGGGTTCTTTCCTTGAGGGCCCATTCTGAACATTGTATTGGATTAGAGGACAAGAAGCTCATTTAGTTGTGGTTAAGCAAGGTATTATGACACCTTCCTTTCCTTCAAATTGTGGAAACCCAATGGCAATATGGTGGTAAGAAAGAAGTCTTTTGATGGCTTTGTTCTTAAGTGCTTTTCAGAGAGCTACTCCCAAAGTGCTGAGAAACATCATTTGCCCTATGCCTTTTCCCCCCTGCATAGCTTTCTTTGCCTCTAATCCTGTCCAAAATGTTTGCTGACATGTCCACTTAGCTTAGCACTCACTGTACTGGAACTCACCAAACAAAAAAGAGTAAAAGAAACAAAGGAAGTTGGGGGGAGGAAAGAGACCATGAAGGATGCTTGTCTGCACTTCCTCATTTGGAGAAAAAAAGGTCCCTCAATGTTTGCTTGTTGATTAAAAGGAATCATCTTTTCTCCTTGTTTACATTTGAATTGAAGGTAGTTGGTCTGTTGGGTTACACCTGAGAGGCAGACAAGTGGGTTTCTTTCTTAGCCCAAGGTTATGATTAAATATGTTGTTCTATCAGTGGATGGGACACAATGATGCTTATCTTTGCCCAATCTACGATTATTAAGCTTTACTAAATGCAACTTTAAGGAGACATCATTGGAATATAGAAATGAGGTTCTTTTCCTTTTGCTGTTGTGTGCTAATGATTCTAGAAATGGTAGTGATTAAGCTGGATTGACCTGAAAATTTATTGCTAAGTGGTGTCAAATCACTTCCATAACCCTGGATTTTTGTCTTCTGGCTTTTCATCATTAACTTAATAGTGAACTATCAAGTGACTGGGGATATCAATAATGGGTAGTTGATGATCTCTAAAAACCATGAGATCAATCTCTTCAGTTGCATTTTGAAGTCAATATTACTGTAGGCTTGTGAATGTCCATCTTTGTGAAGCTATTCATCAGTCTGAGTTGTGGAAACAGTTGACTTTCTTTCAAAGTACAGCAAAGTTGCAATATGACCCCCAGGTACACGAAGTTGTTTGCTTGGCTGGGTATAACGGAACAGTAAATGTCCATTTAGTGTTGGTGACATTGAAGGATGGATTCTGAAAGCTGACAAAATTCTGAGTTTTAACCTTTTCTGTTTTTCATTCCATACCTTTTAGCTATCAGCCACTGTAAAAGTTGAACCTTACAGACTGCAATGGTGGTGGAAGACTGGAATATGATTTGGGAGGTGGAAGGTGACAGATTTTTTTTTTTTTTTTCTTTCCATTTTGCAAGCTGCAAGTGATGGAAAGTTCTACAAGCCTACTGCAGTTAAGAAATGTAAGCTTTTTCCATGGTGGCTTTCCTGACATTTCATTAGACTTGTCTGGAAGGAAACATTTCATTAGACTTGTGATTCTGTTAACATCCTAATTCATTGACAAATCTATAACCCCTTATCTCTGGCCCCAAAGGATGATACAAATGCTAAAATGAGAAAATATTGAGACAAGTGAAGAAAAAGGACTACATCATTAACCTAAAAAACAAAACTTTCATGTTCCTTCTTTTTTTCTTTTCTTCTTCCATTTGGTGAAGATATCAGCCTCTACAAAGACCAACCCTTTCTGGTTCTTCAGAAATACTAATCTCTGAACCTGGCAGTGAGTAGAACCCAACCTCACTTACACTACTCTTCCTTTGTTCAAAAATCTCCTGAGACTGCTTGCAGTGTGCAATAGCTCCTTGAATTGGGTTCTCAATCTCTGAACACACAGTACTTGTACTTCTCTTCAGAAATGGCAACCCTCGATACCCGTTTGAGCTGATCAAGCTTGAAGACGATGAAGAAGAGGCTGATGATGATGATGAAGAAGAAGAACTAGTTGATGTTGAAGATTTGGCAGTAGAGTTTCGTTTAATAGCCATTGAGAATGATCTCCTATGGACCCTATTACCACTGCACTCCTCACCAGTAGTACTCTTATGTTTGCTGATGGTTGTTGATAAAAATTCATTTTGGATGATCTGCCCAAAAGGAGCTTTCTTTACTACAACTGTCTTCCCACATCCTTCTAAACCAGCTTCTTTGCTGGCTTTTGAAATGGTCCCTTCATCAGCAACTCTTGCAGCAGCAGCTGCTGTGCAGGAATCATCTGAGCACCCGGATTTACCAAACAAGGCCTTGAAGTAAGCCCTTGAAGCCTTCAGCTTTGAACCAAAGAGAGCAGACTGTTTGATCAGCTTAAGCTTCTTTGCCCATGATGGCCTCTTTGGATTACTCTCACCCATGTCTATGTATCCGCTCACTTGACATGATGAATACTCAAGCAAGTACTCTTCGCGATTAAGCACCCCGCTGACTGGGCAGGAACCAGCTGGGGAGATGTTGCAGGACTCATAAGGGGTACTTGCTGCTGTAGGAGTGGTTGCCATCAATGGTGTGCTGTAGAACTCTTCAAACACATCTTTTCTGGCACCACCAACGCCACACGAGTTCTCGAGGAGCTTCTCGACCATCTGGAGACGAGGTGGGAGGTGAAGGGGAAGGAGCTTGCCTTTGTAGAAGAGCTCATCAGCTGGGGAAGTAGTTGAGTGGTACTCTTTCTCAACAGGAGGTGTTGACATGTGGAACTCAAACTCTCTTGTGTTTTGATTAGCAAGGATGGAGAATGAGTTTATCTCCATGTCAATGAATTCATCATCTGCTGCTGCTACTGCAGCTGAATGAAGATGGTGGTGGTGGTGATCAAAGGTAGGCAGATTTGCAGCCACTTCCATCTCAATTTCTGAATGTATGGGTTTGTTTTCCTTGGCGTGTAGAAACTAGAAATGGGCTGATGGAAGAGCAGCTAGAGGTTTGGTGGTGGGAGGGAAACTGAGAGGAAGCTCTCTGAATTTAAAAGAGGGAGATGAGGAAGTCATGTGAGTGAAGTGATCAACCTTTGACAATTGTCACAATTTGGGATTTTTTTGGTTTCTTGTTTTGAATAATGTTATGGTGGGTGACAAGGATTTGAAAAATTGTGTATTTAAAAAATCTGAACATGTTGGGATTGGTTCCCAGTTCCCACTGAGAGGTCCAAGTTCATTTTCCTTGAACTAATGACACTGCTATCAATGAAATTTACTTTTCTTAAACCTACTCAAAGTAACTTTTTGTTTTTGTATCTACTAATGATAGACCAGGTTCCTTGCAGGTTACTGTGATGGAGAAGTTTGATTATGGTTGAGATTTAAATTTACAACATTGGGATTAGCAGTTGGGGACCAACCTAATCCTAGGACCCTTTCTATTGTTTCCAAAGTTGTGAAAGCTATATCATATTTTCCCCCCTTTCCAAAGTAAGTTTCAAACTTTAAAGGATAATTTCAAGTCCGTATTATTTTGTAACTTTTATTGACGTAATACTTAACATATCCAAGAAGTTATCAATCTGACATGTCAGTCTAGTATCTTTTGTACACTAAGCTAATTGCTTTTAATACTAGAAATTGTTGTTCGTAAGTTTGATATCCATTTGTTAATTAGTGATAAACTGATGAGAGGATGGTGCCGTGGTGATGATGTAAAGCTTAAAACTTTAAGGATAATCAAACTGGGATTATCAAAAGAAAAGCAAAACCCCCTGTCTCTTATGGTTCTTTGATAATTCTTTTGATGTTAATAATTTCCTCTTTCACCATGGGGGGTTTGTCTCCTAAATTATTTATCGGATTAGAGGTGTTTGGTGTTTAATAAAAAAGACATCTTTACCAGGTTTTACTGCTTTTACAGGATTCCTGGTGTTGGGTTCTTCTGTGATAACTTATTATATATCTTGTCTCTTCCAATTAATCAAAGGTTGTCTTATTATTGGCAAATCCCTAAAGGCTAAATGATGGAACCGTGTGCATGTCTCTTTTGTTCATTTTTTTCAACCTTTTTCATATGCTCTTTTAACGTTATAGTGGTGTCTGCTGAATTCTTCTTTTTTTATAGAAATATGCTGAATTCTTTAGAGCATAGCTAAACATAAAGTGCGGACGAACGAATTGGGAGTTAAGCCCATACTAATAAATACTTATTGTATGTATCCGGAGCTAGATGGAACAAACACTAAACAAAAAGATTTGTGTTTAAATGTTCTTACTGTAAATTAAATATTGTAGGTGGTACAAATTTATTTTATTTACATCTTCAAAAGAATGGGGCTTTTTACCATAGAAAGATTGCATCAATTATGAAGGTGAACTTCTCGGTGACTACTAACAAGTAGGGCTGTTAATGAACCAAGCCGCTCATGAACGGCTCGGTGTGCGACTCGAGAAAAACTCGTTCGACACTCGATTCGTTTTAATCGAGCCGGTTCACGAACAAGCTCGTTAACTAAACGAGCCGAACTCGAGCCATACCATATTCAGCTCGAAAGCTCGCGAACAAGCTCATTTAATGGTTTGGCATAAAAAAGGATTAGAATTCATGGATTTTATGTATTGAAATTGGGATAAATATTGTGTTTTACTTTGCTAGACTTTGCTACATGTTTGAATGTAATTTTGTGCGCAGTTCTAGCCTTCTAGGTCAATCTTGAGCTATCATGAACATTTTATGAGTTGATCTCGATTTTGGGCTCGTTAAGCTTATTTGACGAGCCGAGCTCAAACTTTCATTTTCATAAACGAGCCGAGCTCGAACTTGCATATTAAAGCTCGTGACGAACTCGAGCCTAGAAATATATTAACGAGCCTAACCCAAACTATGGCAAAGCTCGGCTCGACTCGACTCGACTCATTAACAGCCCTACTAACAAGTAACAATCGACATATAATACTGTGAAAGGCTAAACCATTTTCTTCCATGAACTTTTCGAAATAGCTTTAAATGTATATTCTTAAGTCTTTTTCGCGTCATCGAAAATTTATCGGGTGTAACCGGAAGCATTATTTCTAGGTGTAAGTTGTAACAAACAACAAGCTGGCTGCTTTTGGTCAACGACAGAAACTAGCTCATTGAGGGCAGAGTTCTAATTTCTGGAGTGGGCTGTATTTTTCAGGCAAATTCAAGGCACCTTCATCATGTGTGTTGTCAAGGAAGAGATAGCACAATCTCGTTTAGTAGTCCCAAACCAAACCTCTCTGTATCTAATCCAAATTAGGCAATAAGGTTGACGAAAGTCTCCTGTTTTTTGTCTTCTGGCCTTGGATTGATTGCACCTCTCAGAGACATATCTTACTGGCACTTGTTGGTTGGTAAAGAGGATATAGCTAAGCTTCCCGGTTCTATGTCTTGTCCTTTCCCTCCCTGCTCCAGCTAGGACTTGACGTGGGATTCGGTTCAGCGGTTTAATCGAAATCGGATTATTTGGTTAATGGGTAACTGAGAATCGAAATTGAGCTAATAGTATGGTCTCGGTTGGGAGTTTCGACAATATTTCGAGTTTCACTGTAACCAAAAAATCGAATCAAATCAGACAAAAATCGATCAGACCAACATGCCATTCCAACTCTAAGGTCCAACTATATTATGGACCAAACCCTATGAGTTATTAGGTTCAATGCGGACAATCGAAGTATATCCGGAAAACCGAAAAATTCGGCTCTCGGGTAACCAAAAACCACATCGGTGTCGATTACTGTTGCACAAATGTGACCAATTCGGGTTCAGGTAATCGAAAATCACATCGGTGCAGGTTATGGAATTGCTTGAATGGGGCCAACTCGGATTCGTGTAACCGATCGATGCAGATTACATGCGACATAGGTGTTGATTGTTTGACGCGAATGAGTATCGTGTTCTAATTAATGTTTGATGTTTCATATCACTTGTTACGTGTGCATGATGAATTCGTCGAACCAATTAGGCATGGTGATGAGAAAAAAGAGTGAGTGGTCGACTTCATCAAAAGGAAGGAAATAAAAACGTTTGATTGACTGACTGACTGAAAAAAAATAACAAAGTAAGTGAAAGAGAGCCGCCTTCCCACTTTTGGTTTTCTTCATTATCAAACGATATAATGGTTTGTGGAATGTGCACAAGGAAGAAGACGACACGACAGTACTTCTTTACAAAATAGCTAGATGGAGATAGAGGCGATTGTGATTGGTCAAATTGTATTTGTTCCACTACTAGTTCTAACATGAGTGCTAGTAGCGATTAAAACAAAATAATAGTCAAATTTTTATTTCTCAACAAAAAATGGTTAGAATTAAAAATAATAATAAATATAATAACTGAATTGTTAATTTTTTATTTGGACAAACGTGTGTTGTGACATGACGATTCGATATTGACATCAATCAGTGGCGGACCCATGATTGTTAAAGAGGGGTGTCGCCTAATGAAGGTGTATCGGCTATAAATATTAAAGCGGTGTCGGAAATCTCGTATTAAAATTTTTTGTACCAAAAAAATATATGTTCTACAGAAGAAGAAAAAAACGGGCGAATGGATGTCGAACGACACCCCTTACCAACAAGTAGGTCCCCGCCGTTGGAATCAATTACATGCCAGAATGCATGTTGTCACAGCCACTACGCTCTTGATGTTTGTTTCCGGATAACATCTCCTCTTGACGAATCAATATGTTTGGTTCCTACTCCGATGCTTTCCTTTGTATAATAACCGTCTTGTTTTTCTTCTGTTTCGCAAGTACCCCTAAAGCTCTTGTAGCTTCCTTCACCTTACATGACCGAATGTTTCTCTGCTTCGTACTCGTAATTGAGTTTCACATCATATATACTCTGAACTGTAAACCCTAAACTCTTCTTCGCGCTGCTGTAATTGGTTCCCCATTTGCCAAGAACTCTGCGGGTACCAAAGAGCAGAATAAGGCAATCTGGAAAACATACCCTTTTGGGGCACTCGATTGCAGTTGGTTAAAGAGAGTCAAGTTGCTTGCTGCCCTTTAAGATCGATGTATTTGTAATCTTTGTGAAGGTGGCGGGGGCTACCTTTTGCCACCCACTAGCTTCTGTTCTTTTGCCTAGAGTATACGTCGGAAGCCACCATCAGAATCCCTTTCCAATGCAATGATTCTGCTCTTCAAAAGATGATCAGTCAAATTACCAAATTCCCTGCCTATAAACAATCCCAGGTCACTTTACTTTCTAAGTGAAGGCGCTTTTAAATGCCACGGATGTTTCCAAGAGTTTCACCCAAGTTACTTGACACAATCTTCTTAGTACACACAACATATACTCTCCGATACCTAATCTCGTTATAAAAGTGATTTGAATTGGGTTAATGCCACATTTGGTCACTGTGATTACTAAATCGTGACATGTTTAGTCACTAGAAAAAAATAATATCAACTTTTGTCACTCAAATTACTAAAACAGGTCACATTTAGTCACTCTCCGTTAGTCTCCATCCAAATCCGTTAACAGAGCCCGTTAAGTGATGACGTGGCTAACGGAAGCGCCTAATCAGTGTTGTTTTGGGTAAAAAATGGACAAACCCGACCCGCCATGTCATATACCCAACCCAACCCATTAACCTAACCGGACCCAGAACCAAACCCGACCCACTTAACAAAACAAAATTGGAAAATCAATCGGATCAGTGGCCATTTTTAAACCCGAAATCCTTCTCCTTCCTCGCGAAGCTCTGCACCTTCCTCTAGATTCTACCATTTTCGATCGAACAAATCATAGAGTAGGGAGAGATGGAGCAAGCCACTTGACCCCCTTGTCCCAGATCCTCCGTCGAAGTCGCCTTCTTCTTCTTCTTCTTCTTCGTCGTCGCGTGCCGGCTTCAATTCCCCCATCGTAGCAGACAACGATTGATTTTCCAATTGATT